CTTACTCTGCTTTCTCAGGTTTAACTTACCTCCCTTTCTGAAACAGGCCCCTGATCTCCAATCCACCATTACACAAAACCCTTCGAGCTAAAAATGTACTTATGTAGGAAAATTTACTTGCAAAACAGTTACACCAGAAAACCTGCAAACTACTGGAAGCAAAACATCCAGTTTGATTAAATATATCAAATAGTAAAAAATATGTAAGGAAGTGAACTCAATATTAACAAGAAAAAGTTTTTTCCTCCTGTCGTCATTTAGAAAATGTAAATATCTTTGGTTTCTCAAAAACAGGAAAAATATAACCTGAATTTTGTCATTAAGTTAAGGAGAATGTTTGGTTTTTAACTAAAACAATACAAAAACTCAGTTTGCAGGATTTGAAAATTCTGTAACACTAAAATAATTTAAAATACATTTTAAAGATTAACGCTTGAGAATAAGTATTATGGACCAAAAAATAGAATTTATCCTATTTTAATCCATTAAGTATTGCAACATAGGAGAGCTTTCCTTTCCTAAATTGTACTTAACTATACATATTTTTATGTTAAGTCATTAAAACACAAGCTACCTAAGTCAAACTGCATCAACTACATAAGTCAAACTATAAATCAAGCTTATTAATTAGTTTACACAGCAGAAGGGCTATTAGAATTTTGCTTACACTTCAATGAAAAAAAAAAGATTTCGCAAAGCATTAATGGTTTGGGTTATTTTTCTTCTGGTTTAAGTTGCAAAAGAAAACAGTGATACAGTAAGTGATAATTAGAAAGGAGAATTTGAACCTCTGCAATGATGAGAAAAGAACAGGTGGAAGTTAAGACCCAATGGCTAATTAGAGCCTCCGCATGGCTTCTGGGTTGCTACATTTTAATTACAGATTGGTTGAGCGTGGTGAAACAGCAAAGTGACCTCCAGCCTCCATTCGCCCCCATCACCATTTAATATAATCTAACGCCTCCACTTGAAAACACACACATCCACCGAAAGCCCCCAAAGAAAAACAGCTGCCTCCCGGCTCACACCAATGCATCACCAGCTGAGACATTTGCCTTAAATATGATGCAGCTAATTAGATGGTCAAATGGGTTCATTCGTATTCTCACACTTGGTAATGATTGCGGGTTCTGACCTTGCAATATTAATGTTATGAACTGCAAATGAAAGTGGCACTGGCCTTGTTTTTTAGATCTCATTTCAAAAAGAGGTGAGTTATGAGAGCGTGGTTTCCTGTGAATAGTCATTATTTGTTTATTGGAAAAGAATAAAGGCTTTAGGGTGCTGAACAGATGCTGTATGTCTTCTAACAATGTGTTGTCATCCAGAGAGACGCATGGTTGTCTTACAGCAATCTGTAAAAAAGGCCAATGTTTTACTGGTAGCTGTGAAACCCTCAATAACTGTGTGTTTGTCATTATGACCAAAGGGGGGTGTGTAGTGATGGTGGTGAGGGCTTCATCACTTGTCTTTTCCACTACACTTATGAGTCTCCATGACAACTGAGCCACCTCACAGCAGCTCATAGTTTTTGGCAAAGACACAGAAGTGAAACTATCTTATCACAACGCACCAGGATGCTCATCGCATCCCTCCACCTTCTCCACAGGACGAGCCCAGCACAGTTTCATCGCTTGACAATGTGTCTGTGTCTCTTTCTTTCTGCGTGGGCTTGGATGACACAGGAAATGGGAAACTTGGAAATAGCAGAGAAAATGTGAAGAGAAAAGCAAACAAAACAAAAGGCAACAAAGCCATTGTTCCAGCACTACCAGATTTTCAACCGGCTGTGAAACTGTAACTATTACCAGATTTTTAAACACATCTAAAAAAAAAAAAAAAAAACATAATATTATGCAAATCGATTAATCAGGCGATTGTTTTTTCAATTAATCGATTAATGATCGGATAGGTTCCTTTAAGATGATTTTTTTTTTTATGAAATTAAACCAGGTGAAACTAAAACGTTTCCACTTGAGGAGTTCTGGATAGAGCATATTGAAAGACAAAAAAGTTTTTTTAATCTTAAATACAGAATGTTTATACATTTTTTTTTTTACAATTTTGATGTAATTACTGCTCTAAGAGGGTTGCTCTGTCAGCTAAAGGCATGTTTAGAGTCTCTTTCCTCCAGTTAACAATTAATTGGTTAATAAATTAGTTGATGATTATTTAAATAATCGATTAATCATGATTAATTTGGTTAACGGTTTCAGCCCTAAACCCAACATACAAAAAAAAAACATTTCACTGATCATTTATCTACTCCTAAACTTTAATTGCACAGAAGTCATATATGTATTGGGAATGTTTAAGGAATCTGGAGTATTGCAGCCTCATTACAACAAAAGAACAACCCTCAAGACATCAATGCACATCCGTAATAGGAATAGTGATAGATCTAGCTGCCGGGTATATGTTTCTGTGCTTGTGGGCAGTGTGGGAGGCTTGCATCTAATGTCTTCTAATTCATCTGGCCCATGTTTGGCCAGGGTGAATGTGGGGGTTTGCCTGATGGACGCTGTGGCTGTGGTTGGGTAGACCCTCTTGTGCTGTCAGACAGGGAGGGTCACCCCACCTTTAAACTTTTGTTACTCTGTGTTGCATGGATGACTGAAGTCTGCAAATTGCTTGTGGATTCACTAGTCTTCCAGGACAATGGGGTCCGTATTAAGAAGGTCTGTGTGATCCTAGAGACTAGGCATAGGTGTGACGAAGCGGTTACCATGGTTGCTGTCTTGTTGCATTATTTTGAGACATGGCCAGCAACTGGATGCATGGAGCAGGTGATTGCACTGAGTGAAGGTTATGGGTGAGTCAGGAGGATAACAACGGACTGACCAATAAGTCCTCTTCTATTTCCACACCGTGATCTGTACTGCCTCCTGGGTCAGCACTTTCCATTCACTGTTATTACTTTTGTTCCCATATGACCTTGAACCTTGGCTTTGCAAGGGTGCTTCCCATTCTGGTTTTATAGGTGATTACAACAGCAAAAGACAACTTCTGCCTTAATCTCCATGGGCACATAAATACAAACATTTACCTGCACACATGATGAAAATAATTTGATTTACATCTGTTAGAAGCAGTGGAGGGCAACCGGACCTAAAATGCTGTTATGTAACAGAACACACACAAACATGCTCACAAAAAAAAAACACCATATCAGCAAAATGCACAGGGAAAAATGCGTGGGAGAAATTTCTTTATGTAGAATAGATTTCTTTAAATGTTGCTGTCATGGCTGCACCGCCTTTGCATGGAGCCCAGTCTATGGTTTTCTGGAGCTGACTCCACCTCCTGAACATATTTCTCTGTTGTACCTGCCTGATTTCATAGACAGTCTTTTAGTTTAAAAATAGATGCTTTAAAAAAACATTAAGTAAAATGATATCAAAGTTAAAATCTCCCCTTTCCATATATATCTTTATTTCATATATTTTCAATAAATCACTGAGTCATGACAGACGTCTGTGAACAAATCCATCGAGCCTCAGCGATTCTCTCATTGAGCAAGAAGTCAAGGGGTGGTCGGAAGGAAGATTGGTCAATGAGCGTCTGTCTGCCTCTGGAGAAAGACGTCACTGCAAGCGCACCTCCGGAACACCAATCCCTTATATTTCCCCGAAAATGTGAGAGAATTAAGTCTTTTTTTTTTCAGATGTTCTATCTCAAATATATATCTATTATTTTTTGCTCTTTTTTGCACGGACATGACGTGAACTCTGTCATCTATTTATAAGTCACTGGGCATGTTTCCATAGCAATTTCATGGATGTTGCCAAGCAACGCACCATTGGATACAATAAAGACATGAATGAAAGTAGACTAATAGCGCGCACATTTCCTGGCAGCGAATGTGAATGGGCTTAAAGACGCTCCGGTTTGGCACGGCATTGTTTCGAAAGGATTATGTGTGTGGGGGGAAATAATGCGGTGTAACAGTTGGCAGAGTTAGTCTCAGTCGAATAATTGGCCCCATGCAGCTTTGACATCTTATTGATATCCATTAAAAGTTATACTCAAGGGTATAAAGCCGTTCAGCCACTGGATTTTGAAGTGCGTAAAAAGCTGCGCGTCCTTTTTGCGCATCAGAAAGAATAAAAATAAAGCATATGTATTACATTATAGATAAATTCCGTTGACTGGGGAAAAAAGTGCAGAGAATTTAAAGTTTGTCAAGCTTACCTTCAATACAACAGATTCTCCACAGTCCAGAGTGGGTGAGGTCCCCTTTTTTAGTTTTAATCTGAGTCTGGCTTTCGTCTGTGGTGGCGTTGGTGCCATTACAGATGTACGCCCGTGAATATAACCAGTAGTCCGTGCCAACGGCGATGGTCATCAGACTGAAGGCGGCGAAAGCCCCCGCCGTGGCCAGCAGCGTTTGAACCCCACGGTCACACCAAGCCATAGCGCTTCATACTAGTTCGCGCGCTCCCAGGTCCAGCAGCATGGACGCACCAGGGCGCGCCAGGGCGCGGGTCCTCTTGACATACTTGTGTTGAAAAGTAAGAGACCCTTAACTGATGGAGCCACCGTTCGTAAGGTTTGGCTGACGTTCAACTTGAATAAATGCTCCATTTGAAGCACGAAGAAAAGCTTAACATCACCATCAAAACATTTCTAAACTCATCAGCACTTTATTTCATTTTTTTCCCCTTAAACATTTTCTCTGAGCACTTTTTTTCTGCTCCAGCACAGACCGCGTCCCTATTAAAACCCAACGAGCGCGACGTCAAAAGACTCTTAAGTGAGACCCCACCCTCATCAAATCTAACCAATGAAGGAGATGTGCGTTTAAATGAGTGAAACGAGAACTCGCATCTGCATTCAAAACTGCTGTCACAGCGACTGCCCAATTAAAATGCAGGAGAATTTATGAGGGAATGTAAATACCCAAACAAAGCCAGTGGCATGTGAGACATCTCCACGCTCCACGCTGGATTCACATGCCATAATTATTACCAAAATCGAAGTCACGCCTGTCACAGATGAGGAGGAAAATAACAGCATCCTTTGAAACAACGATCCATGTGGTGCACAACAGCACATGCAGCAACCAAACAGACTGTTTAAAGCAATTAGATGCTCAGACAGCGTGTTATAGGAGGGTTCACTGGGTTCATTCTGGCAGCAAAAATGTATAAACAGATATGTGGCTGCACAATGGCCATGCAATCCTATATTAAATCATTGATATTCCAGATGCCTTCATACATTTTCACAAATTAGAGCATAAAACCTCCCAAGTATTTATACATGTCGAGTGGAAGGGAAACTATGCATGGCTTCTGTGTTCTTTCCTTATCCTTATTTGTATGGACTTTTAGAATTAATTTTCCCCTTCCTCTGCAAATTAGCTCAAGCTACACATCAGTTATCTAGTCATGACAAAGGTTAATACTTGAATTTAGGGCTGGACTTTGACTAGGCCAATCTAACACATGCAAAAAGCTTTGCTTTAAACCATAAGCCGTTGCTGTGGAAGCTTGTCTAAGGATGCTGTCCTGCTAGAAAGGGAAACTTCTCTTTCAGCCTCAAGGCTTTTGCAGTTTTTACAGGTTATGATGACTGCTCAGTATCTCCATCCTTATTATTTTCCATGCTGATCTATTTAACTGTCTGTGCTAACAAAAAAAAATGAAAAATTATACCCCAGCATCCATCCCTTCATGCATCCATGGTTTTGTCTCTGTATTACCGTAAGGCTTGCAAATTCATGTGATTTTAGAAACAATGTTTTTCTTCCATGTGCCATTCTAGACAGGGGCCAAAAAGGGGCAGTGCCCCTGTAGAACTGGTCCTGTCCCCTGTTCTGGCCTCTGTACTGAAGACATAATGCTAAAAAAATACTTATGATGCCATGTGCTGGAACAAACATGGTGAATGATAGCTTTCTTTGACCTATTCCATTTGTTTTATTTACAGTTGTGGTTATATTATGATTTTTAAAATGAAGGTGATAGCTTCAGCCATAGGATCAGATTTTTCATCTTCTAAATAGTATTTTGACCCACCCGAAAAAAAACCTCAACTTTATTACAGCTGAATAGTTCAGTTTTACTTATCAGTTCTATTTCTTATTTGATTAAAGCTAGAGATTTTCGTGTTATATAAATAGTTATATATGTTACAGTCCTGAATTATCATTGTAGCTTTATTTTATCTGTAAATAGATGAATATTTGCAGGCAGCTAATTATTTGTGTTAACTTTTTTCCACTGAAAGGGATTTTTAATTTTAGGTAAAGTAAAATTAACTATGTTCAAACCAAAAATACAAACTTTCAATTGAGAAATAAACAACAACAAAAATTATACTAAGTCGAAATTTCCCGTAATTTAGCACACAGCCACAAGTAGTTTTTGGGTTCTGAGGTTCTCTTTAAAAATATTTTATCATCTGAATATAGTTTCATTCTCACCCGTAGACAGCTGGAGAAAGGCACCAGTACCCCTTGTGACCCCGCTTGGCATTAGCATGACGGATAATGGATGGATGGATATACTTTAATATCATTTGAATATACTTGAAATGATAAACCATTGCCCTGATTTTTGTTTGATGGTTTTCTATGCCCCATGAAAACACACTGGCCATCTCTACAGCTTCTCAAGAGTCACCATGAGTTTTTTGCTGCATCTCTAATAAATGCTCTCCCTGTCTAGCCTTACAGTTTAGCTGAAATGCTGTATCTGTCTCTTAAGCTATGGAACAATTAAAAATGAATAATATCTGAAATGTTCTATTCACTTCAGAAAGCCAAATAGAAAGTCATTTTTACTTTTAAGGCTTGCAGATAATAAAAGCCTATAATGCTGTGCCTCAAGAAATCAGGATATTGTGCAAAAATGTGAATAGTGGAAACTCATGGTCACACTCAGTCAGTTCATCAACACACGACACCTGAAAGGTTTGCAGAGCCTCAGATGGTCTCCTATTCTAGATCCTTAGGCTGCACAGTCATGGAGAAGACTGCTGGCTGGCGGATTTTGAGCGAAATCTGTTCCTAAATAAATTTCGCTCAACATCCCCTAAATAGGTTGCCTCGTGAGACCATCCTGATCTCG